GAGCACGCCGCACCATTACCTTGACTCAGTCACACATGGTGCAGCAGGTCCTTCAGCGCTTCGGCTTCACGTACTCCTCGCCTCAGGCCACTCCTCTGTCTACTCGCCACTCGCTCTCAGCTCTGCCTTCGGATGAGTCTGTAGAGTCGAGTGGCCCGTACCCAGAGCTTGTTGGCTGCCTCATGTATCTGATGACCTGCACACGACCTGACCTTGCATACCCTCTTAGCATTCTTGCACGCTATGTTGCTCCTGGGAGACACCGACCTGAGCACATGGCTGCAGCGAAGAGGGTATTGCGCTACCTGTGCAGTACGTCGGGCATGGGGCTAGTGCTTGGAGGGCGGAGTCCAGTGGTACTTACAGGTCACGCGGACGCTTCTTGGGCTGACGACCAGGCTACGCAGCGGTCGTCACAGGGTTACACCTTCAGCCTTGGCTCCGGCTCTGTCTCGTGGCGGGCTACTCGCTCGTCTTCGGTTCTCAGCTCGAGTTGTGAGGCTGAGATCTACGCAGGGGCCATGGCTGCACAGGAGCTTCGCTGGCTCACCTACCTGCTGACTGACCTTGGAGAGCCGCCTCGTTCTCCTCCAGTGCTGTATGTAGACAACAAGGCCATGCTGGCCTTGTGTCGAGAGCAGCGTCTGGAGCACAGAACGAAGCACATTGCTCTTCGCTACTTCCTTGCTCGTGAGCTACAGCAGCGTGGACAGTTGCGGCTTGCGTACGTGGCCTCTGAGGCCAACACTGCTGATGTGTTCACCAAGGCACTCGCGCCTTGTGACCATCAGCGCTTCTGCACCCAGCTGGGTCTTGTGCCTGTCTTGCCTCACTTGCTCTCCTCTTGACTTTACTTGTACTGTCACATATATATACCTGCTCTTGCTTGTCTAGCTTTATATATATATGTGTGTACTCCTGCATGTGAACTGGCCTTGTGGCCTTGCTCTTGTGCTCGGACTGTGTGGTGACTTTGTGATCCACCCTGAGCTTTGCTTTGCTTTGCTTGACTGGTCCTGTGACCCCTTGTTCTCCCCCACTTTGCCTATGGGGGTGTGTCCGAACATATATGTAGCTTATGCTGTTGTGTAGGCTACAGTGGGGTATACCATAGGGGGTACAACCCAATTAGGGTTTTGCCATTTGTACTCACTTCACTCATAGTTCATTCATTCTCGCTCTATTTTCCACAGCTGCCCCCCATTTTCTGTGGCCGTTTGCGGTTCGGTACGCGGCGCATCAGATCAACCTTCACCCCAGGGTCTCCATGCCGGAGACCTCCCCAGCTTTGCTGTGGACGGGGAAGGTAGGCGATGCGTCTGCGTTCCGTGTCTGGGGATCTCGGGCGTTTTTCCGCGACTTGTCTGCGGACAAGCTGTCCCCTCGTGCTGCTCCTTGTGTCTTCCTTGGCTTCCCCCCTGACGCGCCAGGGTGGCAGTTCTACCACCCCTCCTCTCGTCGTGTTCTGTCCTCCCAGGACATCACGTTTGACGAGTCGGTCCCCTACTACCGTCTCTTCCCCTACCGCACTCCTTCCCTCCCCCCGCCTCCGCTCTTCCTTGTGCCAGGTCCCCCCCCGGTAGACCCCCTCCCCCCTCAGGGTCCTGCCCCTTCAGGTGTGTCCCAGGTAGACGCAGTCGAGCCGGTCGAGGTTGCTGGTGACACTGGTACTGCTGGGGGTGCTGGCTCTGGGGGTGCTGCGCGAGTGGGTGCTGCGCCTGGGGGTGCTGAGCCTGGGGGTGCTGAGACTGGGGGTGCTGAGCCTGGGGGTGCTGAGACTGGGGGTGCTGAGCCTGGGGGTACTACGCCTGGGGGTGCTGAGCCTGGGGGTGCTCTGTCTGGAGCTGCTGAGCCTGGAGGTGCGGAGCCAGCGGCCGCTGGACCTGCTAGTGTGGCGTCTGGCGGTGCTGGGCCTGGAAGTTCTCCGGGTGCTTCGTCTCGGCGGGAGCCACTCTCTCCACAGGAGCTGCGCGAGTGGTTTGCCCGGCGCTGGAGGCGTACTACTGGAGCTGGAGCTTCTTCGGCTGCTGAGGGTGCTGGTGCCGCTGGTCCCGGAGGTGCTCGTCCTGGGAGTGCTGGAGCTGCTGGGCCTGCGGGTACGACTGGATCTGGAGCTAATGAGGGTGTTGGCGCTGAGGCTACTGCTGTTAGTCCTGGCGGCGGTCCTGCTGCGTGTGCTGCGGGTGCTGCTGGTGCTACTGGAGGTACTGCAGCTGGAGGAGCTGTTGGCGCTGGTGCTACCGCTGTGGGTGCTGGTGCTGTCCCTGCTGTGTCTGGAGTCGCCGCGCGGCCTCGGCCGTACTTCGTTCCGCTCCTTCAGCAGGTTCTTGGTCTTCCTCCTTCCCTAGAGTGTCCACCGCCTATCCAGTCACAGTCCCAGTTACCGCCGGCCTCCCCACTGCCTCCTCCTTCTCCGTACACTGGTCCTACTGGAGGTCTTGCTGAGCGTCGTGAGCCTGCGTCTCGTCCTGCGTCGCCTGTTCGTGCTGCTCGCGCTTGTGGTCGCGGTTCGCGTCAGCGTCCTCCTCCTGTCCCTGGCACGCACCGGATGTCTCTCCGTCCGTCCACTGCTCCTCTGCGTGCCCCTTTGCCTTCTCCTCCTGAGTCCTCTCTTCCTGCACTTGCCGACCCGGAGTCAGACTCTCTTCGTGCTGCCAGTCCTACTGTCACGCGTCTCCTTGCTACTGTCGTCACTGACCCCTCCTTTGAGTCCACTGCCGTGTCTGCTCTTGTTGCTAAGCTCGTCGACTTTGCTGCTCGCTGTCGTCTAGACTACGCTGCTAGTCTTGTTGCTGAGTCTGCGTCTGTTTGTCCTCCGTCCGTCGGGGGTGAGTGTGCTCTTGGCACGGACATCCTTGAGGACAGGCAGGAGGAGTTCCAGTGTCTGGCTGCTGCTTCACCTCATCTCGTGTCCGTACTGCTTACCCCTGAGGGAGACCCGTATGCACTTGACATCCCGACTCCGCGCTCTTACGCGGAGGCCGTAGAGGGTCCCTACTCCTCTCAGTGGCAGGCAGTTATGGATGCAGAGATGGCTTCCTGGTAGTCCACAGGCACCTACGTTGACGCGGTTCCCCCACCTGGGGCGAACATCGTCAGTGGCATGTGGATCTTCAGGGTGAAGCGGCCGCCAGGTTCTCCACCTGTCTTCAAGGCGCGGTACGTGGCTCGTGGCTTTAGTCAGCGGCAGGGAGTTGACTACTTTCAGACCTTCTCTCCCACCCCGAAGATGACCACTCTTCGGGTGCTGCTGCACATAGTCGCTCAGCGTGACTACGAGCTTCACTCCCTTGACTTCAGCACTGCTTTCTTGCAGGGTAGCCTGCACGAGGAGATCTGGCTGCGCCGTCCACCTGGCTTCACTGGGACTTTTCCTCCTGGCACCCAGTGGAGCCTCCGATGACCAGTCTACGGTCTCCGCCAGGCACCGCGTGAGTGGCACGACACACTGAGGACTACGCTTGCGGCTCTTGGGTTTGCTCCCTCTACTGCCGACCCGTCGCTGTTTCTACGCACCGACACCTCTTTGCCGCCGTTCTACATCCTCGTGTACGTCGACGACTTGGTCTTTGCCACTGCTGACACTGCTGGACTCGCCCACGTGAAGTCCGAGCTGCAGAAGAGACACACGTGCACAAACCTGGGTGAACTGCGCAGCTACCTTGGCTTGCAGATCACCCGGGACAGAGCACGCCGCACCATTACCCTGACTTAGTCACACATGGTGCAGCAGGTCCTTCAGCGCTTCGGCTTCACGTACTCCTCGCCTCAGGCCACTCCTCTGCCTACTCGCCACTCGCTCTCAGCTCTGCCTTCGGATGAGTCTGTAGAGTCGAGTGGCCCGTACCCAGAGCTTGTTGGCTGCCTCATGTACCTGATGACCTGCACACGACCTGACCTTGCATACCCTCTTAGCATTCTTGCACGCTATGTTGCTCCTGGGAGACACAGACCGGAGCACATGGCTGCAGCGAAGAGGGTGTTGCGCTACTTGTGCAGTACGTTGGGCATGGGGCTAGTGGTTGGAGGGCAGAGTCCAGTGGTCCTCACTGGGCACGCAGACGCTTCTTGGGCTGACGACCAGGCTACACAGCGGTCGTCACAGGGTTACACCTTCAGCCTTGGTTCCGGCTCTGTTTCGTGGCGGGCTACTAGCTCGTCTTCCGTTCTCGGCTCCAGTTGTGAGGCTGAGATCTACGCCGGAGCCATGGCTGCTCAGGAGCTTCGCTGGCTCATCTACCTGCTGACTGACCTCGGAGAGCCGCCTCGTTCTCCTCGAGTGCTGTACGTAGACAACAAGGCCATGCTGGCCTTGTGTCGGGAGCAGCGCCTGGAGCACAGAACGAAGCACATTGCTCTCCGCTACTTTCTTGCTCGTGAGCTGCAGCAGCGTGGTCTGTTGCGACTTGCGTACGTGGCCTCTGAGGCCAACACTGCTGATATCTTCACTAAGGCACTTGCGCCTTGTGATCATCAGCGCTTCTGTACTCAGCTTGGTCTTGTGCCTGTCTTGCCACACTTGCTCACTTCTTGACCTTGCTTGTACTGTCACATATATATATACTCCTGCTCTTGCTTGTTTGGCCCTTTATATAAATGTGCTCCTGCATGTGAACTGGCCAGAAGCGCGGGAAGGCCTTTCGGTCTTGAAGGCTTGCGAACTAAGAGCCTCGAGAGGGGCTCGTGGGGCGGCGGAATCGGCGGAATCGGCGGAAGCGGAGGAGGAGGAGCCCTGACACGAACCTCCAGAATCGGCGGTCGAGATTCGTTGATCGGACGCGTGACGTTAAGAGAGGAGGAACCCGAACCCGAGGAGGAATGGGGGAAGTGTGGAAGAAAAGCGGAGGAAACGGCGGATCAAGCGGAGCAAGCTGCCAGGCAGGCGAGAGAGGCAGAGGAGGCGGAGAGAGCAGCCGAGCAAGCGAGGGAAGCGGAGCAAACGGTGCTGTACGCGCACAGCACGTGGCACATCCTCTGCCCCACTCTGCGCCGCCCCGTGCTCAAGCGCCCAGGCAGCTCTCACCTGCCCGAGAAACAGCGGAAGCAGCTGCAGCAGCAGCAGAATAAGCTTTTTTGCAGCCCCCCTGTTCCTTCATGCCATTCTGCCAGTGCCCAGCCGGATTCCTCTTGGTCCTTCCCTTCCTCCCCTCCTTCTCAACCTCCTCCTCCTCCTCCTCCTCCTCCTCCTCCTCCTCCTCCTCCTCCTCCTCCTCCTCCTCCTCCTCCTCCTCCTTCTTCTTCTTCTTCTTCTTCTTCTTCTTCTTCTTCTTCTTCTTCTTCTTCTTCTTCTTCTTCTTCTTCTTCTTCTTCTTCTTCTTCTTCTTCTTCTTCTTCTTCTTCTTCTTCTTCTTCTTCTTCTTCTTCTTCTTCTCCTCCACTTATTTCTCCCTCGCCTTTAGTACTGCCTAAGTCACATTCACTATCGTCCAAGGTCGCGGGTCCCAGCCGGGCAGCGTATCAAATCCCCCAAAGCAGATCTGATACGAATCTCAGGGACACGGGCGTTTGGAGGCTGATCAATCCTCCCGAGAGCTATGGGCTTCCGAGGATGGTCTCTTCTCATGGGGTGGGAGAGAGTGGAGGAGGAGGAAGCAGGGAAGGAGTAGGAGGAGGGGGAAAAGGAGGGGTGGAAGGTGGTGTTGCAAGGAGAGAGGCAAGCAAGCAGCACGACCATGACTTTGAATCTATGATAAAGAACAAGGAGTGGCTTCACCGCCACGACTTTAGAGACTGGCTTCACACTCACGACGTTCCTTCCATGATGAAGCACAAAGACTCGCGTCACAGCCACGACCTTGCTGCAACGATGAAGCACAAAGACGGGCGGCACAATCACGACTTAACCTCCGGCACAGTCACGACTTAACCTCCACAGTGAAGCACAAAGACGGGCGGCAGAGTCACGACTTAACCTCCACAGTGAAGCACAAAGACGGGCATCACAGCTCTCGACAGCTTGCGGTCTCTGCTGCTAAGGTTGCAGCAGCAGCGGCAGCAGCAGCTGCAGCGGCAGCGGCGGAAGCTGTAAAGTCGAAAGTTGTGAAGTCAACAGCAGCAGCAATTGAGACGTCTCAAATGGCTGCCGAGTCCGTCAAGTCACAAGTTGTTACAGGAGTCACTGCTACAGCTGCTGCAGTTGCTGCGAATCGCCATGCTGTGGCAGAAATTGTAGCAAGAAGTGTAACAAGAAGTGTAACACGGCCTTTTACACACCCAGCCCATTCCTCTCTTCTCAAGCCTGGCCACCCTCCTCCCGGGTTTACCATAAAGTCACACCTCCCTCCTCTATCCCTTCCTCTCACTCCCTCGTCTCGATCCCCTCCTCTCACCCCCTCATCCAATCCCCTTTCTCTCACTTCCTCTCACTCCTCCACCGCCTCCCTATCCCCTGCCGCTCGCGGCGCCAGTCTGAAATCACCTGCTAGCACCTCCTCCGCTTCTTCTCCAGACTTCGCCTCCCGCTCTCCTCCTTGCTCCATTTCAAAATCACCTGCTGCCTCCACGGCTTCTTTTCCTGAATTCGGTTCCTCTTCTGCTCAAAGCCTCAGTCTGAAATCACCTCCTAGCACCACCGCAGTTTCTTCTCCAAGATTCAGCTCCTCCCCTTCTGCTCACCGGTCCTTCTTCAAATCAGCCAGCACCTCCGCGGTTTCTCCAAGGCCCACCTCCCCTCCTCTCACTCCCTCTCACTCCTCCACCTCATCCCTATCCACCTCCGCGCGCCGTTCAATATTCAAATCTGCCAGCATCACCGCCTCTTCTTCTTGTTCTAAATTCGCCTCCAGCAGGGAATCACCTGCGTGCCCCTCCATCCTCAAATCTGCCAGCACCACCAGGGTTTCTCCACGGCCCGGAAAGCGGGTGTCTTGGAACCTTAACCCAGATAGCCCAGATAGCCCCGATAGCCCAGATAGCCCCGGTAGCCCAGATAGCCCCGGTAGCCCAGATAGCCCTGATAGCCCAGATAGCCCCGGTAGCCCAGATAGCCCCGGTAGCCCAGATAGCCCCGGTAGCCCAGATAGCCTCGGTAGCCCAGATAGCCCCGGTAGCCCAGATAGCCCCGGTAGCCCAGGTAGCCCAACTCTCCCTGCCAGTGAGGTGCCAGGTGCGACACCTGGGGGGTTGAAGTCACTTCACCTGGGAGGAAGCAGTTGCGAGCCCCTTTCACGAAGGGCATCGTGGCATGGAGGTTCCTTTGCTGACAACCGTGCTGCTGCGGCTGTAGGTGCACTAGGAAGGCCGGCGAGAAATGTTTTTGATAGAATAGCTGGTGAAGCTGCTGAGGCTTGCCAGGGAACAACGGTCCCAGCTGGTGCTGCTGGTCCTGGTGCTGCTGTTTCTGCTACTGCTGCTGCTCTTGCTTCTACTACTGCACCTGCAACGGCTGCTGGTGCTGCTGTAGCTGCTGTTGCGCTTTCACTGCCTTACTGTGCATTCCCACTTGCTTCTCCTCTCACTGCTCGAACCATCAGAATAAATCATCCTTCCAGGCCTTCTCAGGATTCTCTTTCGTCAAATCATCCTGTTACTATCTCTAGTCCCAGCCGTTTTGCAACAGCTGAACTCGGAGCGAGTCGAAAGTTCTTCCAAGTGGTGAAGCGAAGGCGAAAAGAGGAGGGAGAAAGGCACTTATTGCATTTGTGGTGGCGCCTAGCCGCAGTTTGCACACGCGGAGCTTAGTCCAAGTTTAATCCAAACTGCATGATCAAGGCCAAGCTCTAGGAGGGAGAAAGGCACGTCCTGCACTTGTGGTGAATCGTGATGCCTAGCTGCAACTTGCACACGCGGTCCAAACTGCATGTTCAGGGGCCTCCCTGTCTGAGTTTTCACTTACTGATTGTAGCTTTCAATTTCCAGCATCACCTTTTGGTCGTTGTTGGTCTGAGCTACCAGATTCTGTTCTTTTCGAATTTATTATATATAAATACGTATACCGTATGTTTCTATAGACTGCCTTACAGATTTATTTACATGTTCAGCATTCACCATCATACTTAGATTGTGCATGCAGGTTTTATTTGCATTATAGATCTTATGATACAAGACAATCCCCATTTTTATTCCACAGCCCTCGGAATACCATCATGAACTGAAACTTACATAAGCACCTTGGCACTGGCACGCCACTCTCTGGAGGCTAAAGCGCGTAACACTGCTGCTGCTGCTGTCCACTGTTTTGCTGCCTTTTTTGAGGGCATTGATCTACCTTCAACTCTGTTACGATGCGAAGTTTTATGAGAAGGCATTCCTGTACGTTGCAGGAGCCGACTCTACCGAGTATGAAGCTGAGGAGTCAGAAGAGCCGAAGCAACGCACTAACCGTCAGATCAAGACCGATGCAGGCAGAAACACTTACAGTGAAAAGAGCGGGAACGGTTTCTGAACGGGTTTCCCGCGCCGCACGGTTTCTGAAATTTAGTTGCAATAAGGGAATGTACCCCTTAGAGTACATGGCTAGCTAGGTCCTTTCGTATTCCCTTGTACTCTTATATAAACTCGATGTATGCATGCTATTATCAACTCAGCAATTTTACATTCACTCTGACCTGAGATTCAAACTTCCGCTGCAACTACCCCGCGATCAACCCTGAGCGATCCTTCGCTAAGTCCCACTTGGGATTGTAACATGGTATGAGAGCTACTCAGGGATTCTTCGCAACTTCACTTCAGTAAATTCGCCAAATCAAAATATGGCGAGCGGCACACGCTCCAAGACCAAGATGGCCGGAGGATCCGGAGGCCAAGCAAATCTGACGGCTGAAGGACAACCCAATCCAGCTGCGACAAGTGAGGCGACAACCACGATCGGCACTGCCGCCCTCGAGCAACTTTTCGCTCGACTTTCAACTATGGAGAAAGAACTCCAAGAACTGCGCAAAGGCGATGCGGGAATCTCTTCCCAACCAGCACAACTTGGACAACCGGCTGAGAAAAGCCGTGATACCGCCGCGCACACCTTCTCCCTCGACACAGACAAATCAGCAACAACTGCCCCCCGTCCAAGTGATGAGGCTATCAACTCTGCACAAACACGCTTCCTCAGCGTTTCAAAGATTAAGACTACTGCCGCGTTTGATGGCAAGGATTTCTATACATGGAGTTTTGAGCTGGAGCTCCTCCTACAAACAGCGCAGATCTACCATTACTTCGACGGCTCTTACCCTAAACCGGTGGAAAACACCGACGTCGCAAGGGCTCAGTACTACAGTGAGTCCCTCATGGCCTACAGTGTACTGCTACGCAATATGACGCCTGCGGAACAACTCAACATTCGCTCCTACAAAGAGAGCGACGCTCCAGCAATGGAAGCTTGGGAGCACCTCGTTGAAGTTTACCAGCCGAAGGATTCCGTTACGGCCAGCAGGCTTCTCCAGCAACTTCTGGAGACAAAAATGGGGCACGGGGAGAAGGCAAATCCATACATTAACCGCTGTCGCAACATCCGTGACCAGATCACGAAGCATGGGAGTACGTGTCAAATTATAATGTTGTATAGGCTGTAGTTGGGTAGCCTATATGGGGTACACATTTCTAGGGTTGCATATTTGTACCACTTTCATTCCTTAGTGCAGTCGTTCTCGTTTCTTCTCATGGTATCGAGCAGGTTCCCTCGTGGGAACTGTTCCTAGGGCCCACCAAGTCGAATTTTTTTTCTGCCCGGAGCGCACCTCGCTTAGGCCCGAGTCGCGCCTCGTGTGCCCTCTCTACTGACGCGCCCGTCCTAGGCCTCCTTCGGCCCCGTGGCGTCGCCCCTAGCGGCCTCCCTCGCGCCACCCTTACTCGGCCCGTCGCCACCCTCAAGCGGCCCGTTGCCGCCCTTGCGCCGCCCTCACCCGCGGCCCTGCCACCTACCTGCGGGCGCGCCACCCTACCAGCGGCCCCGCAGCCCTTATCTGCGGCCCCGCCGCCCTACCTGCGGCCCCGTCGCCTTACCTGCGGCCCCGCCTTACCTGCAGCCCCGCCGCCTTACCTGCGGCCCCGCCGCCTTACCTACGGCCCCGTCGCCTGCTGCTGCGGCCCCGCCACCTTACCTGCGGCCCCGCCACCTTACCTGCGGCCCCGCCGCCCTTTACCTGCGGCCCCGCCGCCCTTCTCTGCGGCCCCGCCACCTTACCTGCGGCCCCGTCGCCTGCTGCTGCGGCCCCGCCACCTTACGTGCGGCCCCGCCGCCCTACCAGTGGCCCCGCCGCCCTACCTGCGGCCCCGCCGCCCTTCGCTGCGGCCCCGCCACCTTACCTGCGGCCCCGTCTCCTGCTGCTGCGGCCACGCCTCCTTACCTGCAGCCCCGCCTCCTTACCTGCGGCCCCGCCGCCCTACCTGCGGCCCCGCCGCCCTACCTGCGGCCCCGCCACCCTACCAGCGGCCCCGCCGCCCTACCAGCGGCCATGCCGCCCTACGCAGCCGAGCCGCCCGCACCGCTAAGCAGCCCGAGCCGCCCGTTCCGCCTGATCCGCCCGAGCCGCCCGAGCCGCCCGAGCCGCCCGAGTCGCCCGAGCCGCCCGAGCCGCCCGAGCTGCCTGAGCAGCTGAGGAGCCGAGCCGCGGGTGCCGCCGAGCCGCAATTGCTGCCGAGCCGCCCGAGTCGCCCGAGCCGCCGTATTGCCGAGCTTCTGTGCTGCCGAGCTGCCCGAACCGCCCTGTCTGGTGAGAGCAGCGCCTCTATCACTGCACTGCCCCTGCCCTACAGTTAGCGCTGCTAGTCTACTACAGTCATGGCTACCCCCAGTGTTCTCGCTTTTGACGCTGAGGGTCGGGCCATTGACTTTGACGTCTGGGTAGATGACCTGCAGCTTTTCCTACAGTGCGATAGGGCAGACGGTCTCTCCCTCTTTGACCTCACCTCTGGTGCCTGCCCTGCCCCTGCTGCCGATGCCGACGCCACTGTTCGCTCACAGTGGGCCACTCGCGATACTGCTGCACGTCTTGCTGTGCGTCGCCACCTGCCTACCACTGAGCGCGCACACTTTAGTGAGTACAAGAGTGCTCAGACCTTGTACGACGCTGTAGTTACGTGCTACTTTTCCCCTGCCACTGCTGCACTGAGCCACCTCATGCTACCGTACCTCTTCCCTGACCATGCTGCCTTTCCCACTGTCGCTGACCTCATTACGCACCTCCGCACTAGTGACACTCGCTACCGCGCTGCGCTTCCTGCTGAGTTCATCGCCAAGAACCCCCCCCCCCCATGTACATCACTCTCTATTGTATAGTCACCCGCCTCCCTGACTCCCTTTGTGTAGTCAAAGACCACTTCCTCTCAGTCTGTCCCACCACTCTCACTGTTGACCTCCTCGAGAAGGCCCTCTTAGCAGCAGAGAAGAGCATAGTTGCTGTAGGAGCCTCTCGTGGTGACCCTCGCACCCCCATCTTTGAGGGGTGTTCCCCTTCCCCCCTTTTGCCCTCTATCGCCTCTGCTACTGCGGCCGACCTCGTTGGTCTTGAGTCGGTCGGTGCGGCGTCTGCCCCTAGCGGGAGACGCCGCTCTGGCAAGGGCAAAGGGGGCAGGGGCGCGGGAGGAGCTAGCGGGGGTGGTGGAGGCGGCGGTGGAGGCGGCGGAGGGAGTGGGGTTGGCGGTGGGAGTGGTGGCGGGGGTGGAGGTGTCGGTGGCGGCAGTGGAGGCGGAGGCGGCGGAGGCGGTAGCGGTGGGAGCGGAGGCGGCGGTGGTGGCAGAGGTGGAGGAGTTGGAGCTGGTCGGGGTGGCGCTACGCAGCGGAGCGGCTCCGGTGGTGGTCAGCGCCAGCAGCAGCAGCAGCAGCGTTCTTGGGACATCCCCCCCCCTCAGCAGCTCCGTGAGTGGTACGCTGCACGTTAGCATGGTGGGGGTTTTGGTCCGTGCACCTACGTCCTACGCACCGGCGACTGTGCGGGTGAGCAGTGTGGGGGTGCACACCCCACCCAGCGCTGCTTTGGCTGCCTGACGGACGCTTTAGCTATCTATGATCTTGAATTTGATGCTATCCTTGATGCCATGTATGCTGTGACTATTAGTGATGAGGGTGACTGTTACCGGTGTTTCCCGCCCGACCCGGGCATTGGGACTGCTGCTCTAGGTGCTTGTGAGGCTGCTGCTCTAGGTGCCAGTGCGTCTGCGTCCTCAGGTGCTGGTGAGTCTGCGCTCTCAGGTACTACGTCGGCTTCGGCCTCCCTCACCTTCACACTTGACTCAGGAGCTTCTCGC